TGTTGACATGACCTAACAGAAGAAACAGCACCCGCGCGTGGAATACCTTTGTCACTGAATACCGACACATGGATTGTGACGGGTGGGGAAGGGGTGGGTCTGGGGGGAGAAGCGTCTGTGGGAATACAGGTGATAAGGGAGGTACAAGTAAGAGGTGTACCCCGCACTCAAACTCGTTACACAAGAAGCGCTTGGAATCCATGTACACACTGTCGACCCTCCCCTATGCTCCTCTGAGATGGTCCCTGATTAGATCAACATAATTATTGAAAGTCACTTGTTGGACTTTCGTTGAAGAAGCATCAATGGTAGAGAAGGCTATTTACAAAAAGACTCATTATCGATACGGTTACACAAATAAAGGCTCTGTATTAAAGGATTTGTGTTATGGCGGGGTAATGGTGGATGTTTAACGAATTCAATACGAGCTCTCTGGTAGGCAATGACCTTTAGTCTAGCCCCAGGCCGTGGTCTTCCTTTGACAACTGTCTTCGTTAATTTTCTTAACACATCCTTGATAAAAGTACCTCTGAAGCAGGGATCTGACAACATGTGAACACGATGTCCCTACCCTTAAGAATACAAGTACAGTGTTAACGTTATAAGAGGCCTGAGGAAAACACTCGATTGTGTTATTACAGGCCATAGTGTTGAAGGCGGGGGGTGGATGCATGGGAACTGTGACGCTTTTGCGTTCTTAACAGCTGATATTTTCTTTACAGGCGCAAGAAAGACCTTCTTGTTTTGAGACTACTTTAAACCTTAAATATATATCCATTATCGTAGATAACAAAAATAACATATGGAACCATGGCAATTCTTCTTAAGTGGTAACTTTGATATTTTCACCAAAGTGTGTGTGGCTACCCTTAGGCTAATATTAATGGATTTTGGGGCAATAACATTTACTCAAGAAAATAGCCTAGTTCACAATTTATCGTATTCTTAATTCGAATCTTTAATTTTATTTTAAGACGCCTCTTCACATAGTTTTGGATGATGTGCAGGAGAGGAGTATAACATTTGGAATATACGATATGATTATACTTTCAAAAACAAGGCCCACGAGTGTTAAATTTCAAAATATAAAACAAAAGATAAATACCCAGGTAAAGATGAAATATGTAGCATTTTCGCAAGACATATTTGCCTAATACATACCCAGCTGAACGTTTACAAATCCATTTGCATCTGAACATTCATATGCAAGATCCGAAATGCCAGTTATAGATGTTTTATTGATAAATAAACATTTGATCATCAAAGATCTGTCATGCCAATAATATATACCTAGTACTTAACTGTAAAACCTGTGTGATTACTAAATGTCGAGGTTAAGATTGAAGCTCTGACATGCCAGTAATACATAATATCTAATTAATAAATATCCAGGTGATGGCCCAATGTCTCACATACCAGTAATACATATTTGATTTGTAAATACCAAGCTGAAGATCCAACATGTCAGTACTACATATTAAGTTGGTAAATACCAAGGTGAGGAGCCAAGATGCCAGTAATACATATTTAGATAGTAAATACCAAAGTGAAGATAAAACATGCCAGAAATACATATTTAGTTAGTAAATACCATAGAGAAGATAAAAATTTGGAGATCCAAGATGCCAGTAATACATACTAGTATTTAGTTAGTAAATACCAAGGTGGAAATCCAAGATGCCAGTAATGCATATTAAGTTAGTAAATATGCATGCGGAGATCCAAGATTCAACATGCTTACAATACATTTTTAAGTATTCAATGTGCAAGTGCTGATCAAAGATCCAACATGCCAGCGATGTTAATGATTTACAGTCCTAATGATGCTCTGATGTAGGCTTCTGAAACGAAACATGTGCCAGATAAGTATACATTAGAAGACAGCCACGACACGCTCCCTAAGGTAACCATAGAAAGAGAGGGATAAAGAGCATCTCCTTGTATGCGACAGGCAACATAGAAGTGCACATGTAGAGAATCCAGCTTATGCCTTGTCAGTGGAGTTATTTATGCTTGCAGAAGAAACGAGGTTATCTTATACAACCTCAAATACCTTTATACTGACATGCACATACACACAATGTGATTATTTCCTCCGATTAAGCGCAACGTATTTAACAGAATATTTTGGGAAAGAAAAAACCCATTTCTTTGCCTCATTGCTTTCAGGCCACCAGCAGTTATGAATTTGTTTATTAATATTCCGCACCAACCGTTCATGTTTCTGAACACGCTATTAACTCATGTACATGAATGAAATGATTATTTCTGAAAGCCTCAAGGTGTGTCAAACTATACCTGAACCACTGTACTGCATTCAATATTCATTGTCATTCTGCCTGCAACATCCGCTGCTATTCCAAACCAATTATATTTCACCTGTATTACTTACTATAATGTTCATTTTCCAGTGTTTTCGATTTAGAATGATAATATTATAACAAAAGCTGGCGACACTCCCTAAAATCGTGTGTAATATCGTTTCAATATAGTTGTAGAAATAACACTGCAAAGATAAAGAGTGATCTCCTCTTTTCCATTAAGTTCTTAACCTGACCAATAGCAGAGTCAGCAGACCGTACCTTAGCCTAGGGCAGTTAGAACAGGATGGCTGATTCTATTGATGTGTTTAGCCCAAGGACTGGCAAATCTCTCATTCCTTTACCCGCTTGAATAGATCCGTGTAAAATATAAGGTGTCGATCCCACGAGAATCCAAGTAAGACCTCGGAGATTAATTTTCATTATTAAAAGCAAAGGCGTCTAGACCCCTGCAAAGATACAAATTCATCAAACACATTTCCAATATCCTTAAAACTTTAAGCTAAGCCAAATCTCGTTGCATGTCTATTTAACTGAGTATATATAATTGTCAGTTAATATCAATTTTAAAGAATAAAATAGTTGCCTAACATTATGTACGATGTTTCGTTCACACTGGAAACATTATAAATACAGTTTATGATCGATTTCAGCAGAAACACTTAAAACTGCTTTATACGTGACGGAAGAAAACATTCATAGCAAATAGCTTAATACGTTTATTTAAAGTAACATTCAATAAGATGAACAATAACGTAACCGCCTTTACGATTAACAAGTCCGGTTCTCTAGATAAATACATTTGCTGTGTGAATATATCAACAGTTGATTATATCTACCGATAGTTACCTTTAACTCTTGGAGAACACCCAGTCATATATCTTTAAGATATAAGTGAGTGAGTGAGTATGGTTTTACGCCGCTTTTAGCAATATTCCAGCAATATCACGGCGGGGTACACCAGAAATGGGCTTCACACATTGTGGCCCATGTGGGGAATCGAACCCGGGTCTTCAGTGTGACGAGCGGACGCTTTAACCACTAGGCTACCCCACCGCCCCCTTTAAGATATGACGTATATCTGTAAATGAATGTCTAAACAATATGACTGTGAAGAATGTTAGATGCATATAGCAAATACCGATACCAGTAGCAAAGACGAATTGCCGAGCAAACGGACTCTGCAGGGACCTTTTCTACAGCACGGTGACTCTCTATCAAGGCATGTGGTAGCTGAACGAGTTTAGTTCGTTTTGTTAGATAGGGTTCATTTCTGTCCCGCGGAGGATTTCTTGTGTTGCATTTGTGCACAGGCGCGAAACTATGGTTTAAAGAACTACTGGATCAGAATAAAAATATTCAGGTTAGCATTATTAGCAAGCTCTTTATCACTAAAGATTTTCAGTTTGTTATTTATATTCTTTAAAACCGATGGTTGTGCGTTTTCCATACGATATGGTGTATGGTGAATGGATGCGAATGTTTTAGAATTCGTATAATTCAGATCAGTTACGCTTCATTATAAAACACCAGATCTCTTTTGAGGCAGTATTCCACTTTGAACTATGCAGTTGAAATATCTGTTTCTTGTCACCTGTTGATATTTTTTGCGAAGTTTAAAGAGAGGATTCTTTAGGTTTTGGACGCCAGGTAGCAACAGATGGTTAAACAGATGTAGAAAGTCTGTGTAAAGCGTCATCTAAACACCCCAAACCCTGAAATGGGAACAATAGATTGCTTCAGACCAATCAAGAGTTGTTCAAGTGGTCCTTGTATCAGTTTCACCTCAGTTTGAAGCAAGGTGACCAAGGTGGCACGTTTCCAACTAGCGTGTGCTCAACAATGAACTTAATGAACTTGCGGTATATACTGAAGGAAAGAAGTAAGGGAGCGAGAATTTATTGCTCTCCATTTCACCGGTGCGACAGGATACGCTCACGTACTCCCGAGGACCTGATGTCATCACTAATAAATAGTGATTCATAAACACACGCTTTTAGTAGATATATCTTTAGATTATGAAATTAGTTTTGTTTTTTATTTGTATTAGCTTTGTTTTTCTATCTACAACAAGTATAATATTTTCGAAAGAAACAAAACGAACATTATATTGTTTTTATGTGAATTTAAGCATTTTGTTTGTTTAATATTGAGACTTTTCCCACGTTGTCCAAAAATCCTTTAACAGTGTAGATTATACTTTCTGTCTGTATTATAATGTTCATGAACTCATTGAGCAAAACAATTTGTTTCATGTGACGCTATATATTACATTAAAAATACCTTATTGTATTTGCAAGTACAAACTTACGTCATATCTAGACATCTTTATGAAATGCCATACAAGGGCTCTATGTTATTAATTTTAACATATTTCATTTCAAGAAGGTTCCGCTCCAAAAAATATTTGAATCTTTATTCGTAGTTAGTTATGCGTCCGATGTGCTGTCCGACTTTTCCATACAAATTCCCATCTCAACAATCCGTACCCAATCCCGCCTCCAAGCTCAAGTTTGTACCCACGAAGCGTGCAAGTACGCGTGTCCTGCCCGTCTAGCTCGCGACGGAGCCTCATGGCACGCGATCTCCTGTCACTCACCCCGATTAGGGGCGGGCCCAGTCAACGTCCGGTTTACTGCGCATAGGTATTGTCCAAATGATTTCTATATGTGAAACACAATGAAGAAGGAGTTACGATTCAGTCATTGGCTGTTTGCTGTCATCTCCTTGTCAGGAGGCGGTAGTTGTAGAATTTAGCCCCATTAAATGCATAAAGTTTTTTTCAGCTCCAGTATTGAGCATCCTCACCATTAGGGTCAATACAGTTCCGCCACGTGGCTAGAAGGAACAGGGTGCTATTCGCACGCGCCTTAGTCATTCAGCACGTGTCGTGTTTGTTGGGATAATCAGGATGGAGGAAGACATGTTAACCCTGAAGGAACGAAGGTCTGGGGACATCATTACCATTCCAGGTCTACCTACAGCATCTATGTTCAATTTCGCTCCTGACTTTTCAGAATTCGAGATCAATTCCAGATCCACTTTTGACATTCCGTATTCAGACAGCGACTGCACCCCTTGCACGCCGTTGACACCCTTAGAGAGTAGCCACACGCATTTCACCTTCCCTGACCCCCGGGTTCCCCCACAGGCCACGTATACAAGGGGACGGAAGATGGACTTGGTGGTGAGAAGTTCACCGTTCCAGTGAGAAGGAGACAGCGGCTGCCTAAGCCTATTACGAAGGACATCCAGAAGAAACGGAGAATTGCTGCCAATGCAAGAGAAAGGAAGAGGATGGAGAGTCTCAACGTTGCGTTTGATAAACTCAGAACAGTGGTGCCTTCCATTGGAGATGACAGGCAACTATCAAAGTATGAAACGCTACAAATGGCGCAGACTTACATCCAAGCCTTACAAGACCTCTTGGACAAAGACGACAATTCATAACGATGGATTACGTGATTCAACTTTCATGTATGCAGGATAGAACTATCGCGGAATGCAAGTACCTGTTGAAGTGCCGAAGTTTGTTTCGTGTGAATGAAGACTTGTTGAACATTTTGCCCATCTTTATGTGCTGGATATACTCATTATATTTATTATGCATATACACCTTTAGTGTTCAGAATCTGCTTTCGTTTCTGTGAGTAGCCGGGTTTTATTTTTCCCAGTATGATTTAAATGTCCATTTATGTCAACTCATTTTTCATATGAAACTCGTATTGAACCAGTTTTTGTAATATACGAAAATATCTGTCAGCTATTTTATTTCCTTTACATGATTTGTTATGCACGTGCAGGATATGTGGGTGGCTCTCGTGTAGCACGTGCAGCTCCAGAGACAAAAGAAAACATCTTTGATGAAACGAAATACGAACGTATAATTTGTCTGTCAGGAAATAATTTGTCAATAGATGATACTTCATGGTTTTGCATACACTTTGAATGAGTGCTTGTTGTAAATTGTTACATAAAGATAAAAAAAACACTCTTTATGTTTTCGTTTATCCTAATGATCATATGTTTACAACAGCAACTTGTATAGACGTTTCATATACTCATCGTTCCCCTGGATGCAATGTTTTGAAAGTACTTTCCAACTTTAGATAGTTTATGGTACTTCAGAAAGAAAATAGTTATGTCCAGTATGAAATCATCAAAAGAAACAAAAAACGAGAATAACATAAATGATAATATTCCTAATACGTTAGTCTGAAACAAAATCAAGAGCAACGAAACGGCATCAAATATATCACATTATAGATGTTGTGTCTTTTTCAGACACTGTTTTGAAGATCATGATAGGTTTTTTATTCTGTTTTGGATATATGTGTTACCAGCTGATCAGAACTAATACTTGTGAAATCGCAGAGGTTTATTTTCTTCATACGAACGCCAGTTTTCAACTGCTTTCGACAAAAGAGTGATATGATCAACGATACGAATCCTGGCTTTGGATGCTGGGGTGTCATCGTTTCTACCGTTACATGACTACTCACAAACTCCTATCCGTATCGCAGTCACATGAAGATAAGCTTTTGCTTTGTGGTTCGAGTTTAACGCTGCACTTAGCAATGTTGCAGCTATGTGACGGCGGTCGTTAAATATTCGAGTCTGGACCAGACAATCCAGTGATTGAAATCCTCAGCATCGATTTACGCATGTGGGATATGATGACATCCATCAACCAAGTCAGCGATCTTTAAAACCCGATCCCGTTATTCGCCTCTTACGGCATAGCATCGCTGACATAGCATAAGTTGCTGAAGTTTCTAACCCCGATCTTCACGAGTAGCATAATGCATATAGTTGATACAGGAAGCTCGTTCACTTACTATAGCATACCCCTCCTTGTAGTTTGTGACCAAATTTCCGTTATTGAACTGTGGGGTGATAAAATTGACAAGTACTCTGAGTCTTATATCTGCTTCACATCAACAATAAAGTTTTTTACTTCACTTTGTTACATTTCCGCGCAGCCTCTCAAAAAGTAATCATTTTCTTCGAATTTGAAAGTTCAACTTTACCGCAAATATGTATTGTGTGTTATAGTATAAAAAACATTCTTCATTAATAAAAAATATCTTTGTTAAAAGCATGCGTGATATTTCAAAAGATACACAGTACTGTGCTTGTATGTTTATATACTTATTCCTTTTGGTAACACGGTTCCAACAAGAACCAATGTCCTTCATGTATAGACCCAGGACTGCTCTACATACATATAGTTCCGCGAACGTCACTTTACAGCTAATCGTTGTCCCAACGTTTACGTCAATTAGGAACGTCGGAATCGTTATTCTATATGATCGTTATTTTATATTTGAATCGGACGTAGTCCCCAAAACAATAAAATTACCATTTAATTCATCTAATCTGAAGCTATTAGCATATGTCAGTAGTCGTTAATCTGTAAAAGTTTAATCCGGTTATATCTCCCCCAAGATCAACCCCGAGGGACAGCGGTGAGCTCCACACAGCTTCTGCTCACTTTGTACATTTTTCTCACCTACGGCCGAAAGCACCATTCATGACATCATTATTCTCAATAAATGGCGCACGATAGAAAAAAAACGTATTTATTACTTTGAACAAGGAATTGAACGGGTGTATAATTGCCGGCTTCTCGCCGTACCCTTAGTTCAAGGCTAATAACCCTCGTCTTACAGCGAATTTCAATAAACTCCACTTTTGTGCATGGCCAGCTAACAATATGCGTGTTCCTTTAATGAGAGTTAATAGTCCTCTACCTTCGCTCATTCTGCCCTCTACAGGTGGAACCGCTTAAGAACCCTCTCTTGAAATAGTGGCGGGAAGCCCGTGAATGGTAAGTCATGAGACATGGAGCGCGGAGAGAAGTTTACGCCATAAAGAATGGAGACGCTCAAACAGTGTAATAAAATTATCAATGAGACAAAATACTTTGACGTCTTTTCAAAGAAAATGTGTCGGAAACATGGCGCCTCAAACTGTTTCACAAAATGCTTGTGATCATATTTCATGGTTATGAGCTCGAAAACGTAAATGTCAACTTAACACCCAGAGGTAAAATTAACAAGGCGAATATAGCTGATGTTACAGGGCCGAGGTGGCAGGTGCGGTAGAAGAGACACCATGTTACCGGTCTGCTGTTTGTGGTAGAACCTTGATGTTTATTGTGTCTAGAGGGATTTAAAGGTCGACAGTGTGAAAACGAGCCCATTATATCATAAAACATTACTTGATAAAATATAAAATATGGCGCCATTAATTACGAAAATATGTCAAGGGTGTCGAACAAAATATTGAATTACGATGACGATACATTGAGTGATATTAACACTGAGTGATGGGCATTGCTATTCGCTCTACTGATGTATCAGAGATCAGATATCAACTAGTCTTTAACTCAGATTTTTTGTAAATATAAAACCAGAGAATAATCAGTCGTTATTTTCTACTGAAACAGATTTCATTTGGCATAAAATACAAAATAGCGATGAAAATGATATGAATGGATCACTCAAGCCAAGAATACGCCTCAGTGTATAGAAACTAGGGGCGGTGGGGTAGCCTAGTGGTTAAAGCGTTGGCTCGCCATGCCGAAGACCCGGGTTCGAATCCCCACAAGGGTACAATGTGTGAAGCCCATTTCTGGTGTTCCCCGCCGTGATGTTGCTGGAATATTGCTAAAAGCGGCGTAAAACCGAACTCAGTCAGTCAGTCAGTATAGAAACTAGTCTCTTGGCCTCATCATATAAGGATGAGCCCTCGTATGAAGAGTCTAGCCCTCAAAGAAACTGACCTCAGATTATTATTATTATTATTATTATTATTATTACTATTATTAGAAACATGCTGAAACTTACTTCAGCATGAGACCTCGAAGTGTTGAAACTAGCATTAGGCATATACCTATTAAATTATGTAGAATAATAGTTTACAAATATTATTTCATCAGTATTTAGAATTTGACGTGATACAACAAGAACAGATTTATGGTACACGGTTTTATCGGTCAAGTATCATTCTGCGAATTCCATAGGAAATATGCTTTCTTTAGAATCAGGACTATGGGTAGTATGGGGTGAATCACTTTTCTGGGTAATGGTGAAATCCTGAAACACGTATCAGTTAATTGAGAAGGCGTTCTTGTTGAATCCCATGATGGTCGGTATTATCACTTAATAAGAAGTTACGTAATTACAATTTCAGGATGGAGCTTCATTACATACTGAATGAAGCCTAACGATTAGGGGATTAAAGGTCAACAATAGCACTCTAAACTATCCAGCATACTCAGTGTTTGAGAAGACCATTCCCAGTAATTTAACATCTGGCACTTGCAGTATTTTACCTCACGAACGCCAGGTGTTGTGATTGTTAATCCGTTAATCCGAATGATGTGTTGTCTGTGAAATCGTCCCGATTAACGAATTAACAGATTGTCGGATCACAACTACAAGATAATTGTTCCTTTAGTTTTATATCATGGCACTCTCTATAGCAGGGTTTCCGGACAAACCGAGATCCGGATTAGTGAATGGGTTTAGTTTTACGCCGCACTCAGCAATATGCCAGCTATATGGCGGCGGTCAGTAAATAATCGAGTCTGGACCAAGCAACCCAGTGATCAACAGCATGAGTATCGATTTGCGCAATTGGGAACCGATGGCATGTGTCAACCAAGTCAGCGAACCTGACCACTCGATCCCGTTAGTCGCCTCTTACGACAATCATGGGTTACTGAAGATCAATATTCTAACCCGGACCTTCACGGGTAAAGATCCGGATTAACCTTGCTGTCATAACATCGCAGTCAGCAATGTTCAAGTTGCTAAACGATGTTAATGAACACTGGATTCATTCACACTACTACTGTTAGTTTGTCGTGACATATTTGTTAGCTGCAGTAATCTGCTGGAGCCGTGTGATCTTTAACCTCTTTTGAGTGAGTGAGTAGGTTTTACGCCGCTTTTAGCAATATTTCAGCATCATTACGGCGGGGACACAAGAAATTGGCTTCAAACATTGTACCCATGTGGAGAATCGAACCCGGGTCTTAGGCGTGACGAGCTGACGCTTTATCCATTAGGCTACCCCACCGCCCCCTAACTTCTTTTGAACGGTATACAGTAAATTATAACGAACTCAAAGGGAACATCAATTTAGTTTGTTGTTCGTTATACGCACTTTGACTAAATTATACGTCAAGTGGCCTGGACCAAAATAGTTTGTTATATCCATCAGTTCGTGATAAGCGTGTTCGTCATAAACATAGTTTACTTTATTACCTACGAGGGCGAACATATCGGGGTTCATATTTTTCATACGATACCCTAGGGCAAAATATCACTTTGTCATGCTGACGTGACGTCATGAACAATGCTTTGACGTCACGTTTCTTCTGTGACGTTGTGTTCTACATGCGGTGACGGCGGGTTGCCAGCCTATGTTTGAAAGTAGAT